AGTTTAGTTATGAAACTAGGGTCCCTCTGTTTGTCGTTTGTCCCGATATACTCGTACGTCTATCTGATAGCAACCCTAATTGGTACACCTCTATTAGACTGAATGATACTCTGACCTGTGTCACGTTGCATTCTTTATTCGATATTTTAAAGCAACGGAATTTGAAACTCTTTTGAAAATGGAAGCTAATTTCTTGAGTTTTAATTTAATAAAAAACTAATAAACTCTTTTTTGTATAGTATTTTAAACGAGGTGAACAGAAAATTATATTTAAAATTAATAATTTTCAATGTTATTTTGATTTAAAAACGTTAGACGAATTTAATTTTAAAATTCTTTATAATGTGTATGTTTCCATATTATAGCCTCCTTAGGCTAGAATATTATTTTTCCATTATTTAAGTTTAATTTTCTTATTGTCGAATAGATTTGTTAAAGAAAGTTACCGAAATATTTTGGCTTTTTACATTTTTACTCATAAAACAACCGCGTTTCTATTAAACCGATAAAAAGTCTGCAAACTCAGAAACATTTTCGCGAATCCCAAAAATTTTTTAATCTTAAGAAACTTTACATGTTTCTATTTTTTAATATTCCGGAATTCTCATAGATAAATAATACGTAAAGCTTTGGAACTACCTGAAGGCAAAAAAGGACTTGATTTTGTTGAATTTTGTGTTTTCAGAAACTTAGAATTATACTACGGACATATTTTCTTGAGTTTCTACATAATAAGTCAAGCAAAAAAATATATATACATATATCGGACAAAAGCTGATATTTATGGTGTTAAGCAGCGGTTTGAAAAATATCCCCTGTTCACGGTAGTAATTTGCTCCTCCACCATCTATTTTTTCGACTTTACATATACCGAATATGTAAAGTCGATTTTATTTCTCTCGCGAATTTTAGCAAAACATTTTTACGAACGAAAAAAGCATAGCTTTACCGAAAAACGGAACCGTTACATATTTGACCCAATATCGCATGTCCTACATATTTTTTAGTTAGTAAAACTTTACGAAGATATTTCCTACACCTAGTACATTTTTTTCGAACAACAACGATTTAAAAAAGAATACGTCCAATAAACGACAAAAACCGCGCAATCTATTTCCCTGGCTCATATTGCAGAAAAGTAATAATTTAACGGAATTTTCAACGAGAATGGCAAGAAATTTAATATTATAAGTCCCTCGGTGGTAATTAGCGTTAAAGGCTGCTATCTCGGGTGTTTATTAACAGTTAATAGAATTGCGGAGCTCAGCTACGGGTAGAAGGCTTCGTTTCCGCGCCCGACGCCCGTCGCTCGCCGCCAACCTGTTGCCGACGGGACCGCCTTCCGCCCCATTCGAAACGGCGCTTTTCCTCTTACTATGCTACTACTTATTTCAAAGTCTCCAACTCTGGAACGACTGCTTCTGAAAAAACTATCCTAAATTTTACTTACCATCGACGAGAAGAACTCAGCCACCCGCTTTTCTTTTTATTTACAACACAAAATTAATCAACTACAAAAAAACAAACGAATACATTTTATTTTATTGCGTCTTCAAATTCTTCTTTTTAGATATTTAATTTTTTATTTTTTAAACAACTCAAAAATGTAAAAACACTACAAAGTAAACGTCAACCAGAAATCAAAGGCGTAATGTGAAAAGAAACGAATTAATAAAAATGTTTGGAATTTGAGCGCGAGCGGCGGCAGAGTTAAGTTCGAGTTATAGTCGAGAGAGGTACCAGGAGGACAGGGTACTGGGAGAGGTAGCAGAGCAAGCGCGGTGCCGCCGCCGCGGCTGACTACAGAGTGGCAGCGGGCTGAACGGCTGCGGGCCCCACCCCTAGCGCAGGCGCGTTTCAGGCGCCCCAACGCGCATGACCGACATCCTACCGAAAAGTGGAAAAGTGACTCCTCCAACGTAGATACACCATTATGTACTAAATAAATATTGTATCGTAATAGATGCCGATCCCAGTACATAATTTTGACCTAGTTGAAGATTTTTATGCTCGATTTGGAGCACATAATTTGAGGCAATCTGAATAGTGATATTTGTCGGGCCCGGTTGCGTTTCTCCGTCTTATATACTTGTAATGTACGCCCCGTACACAGTCAATTTACTCGCGGAAGCGATTAAAAGACGACTCCAGGGTTTATAAAAACAAGGTTTATTATGTAATTTTGCCGTATTTCTTCTCGTTTGTGAGTACATTATACATTTCTCTTATGCCGCTTAAATATCCATTTCTTAGTGAATTATCATATCCCCGTGGTAAGGGTTGGAACTTGCTCAATATTTTGTTGTCCGACCCTAGAAAAACCCGCATTTCGTAAGACAGCGGGATACCGTTTTCGAACGCGTAGTCGACGCTGTGTCCACAGTGCGGCTTGCCCTCGTACACGAAGAGGCTGGAGTTGATGAACAAGTGCACGCCTCCAGTTCTCTGGTTCACCCGCATTGTAATATCACCAGCCACGCGGCGCAGCAGCGACGACGGGTGGAAAGGGTCCCGTTTATACCCGTACGGATAATGTATAGAATGTCCATCGCGTTTTAACGACACGTACATTTTTGCCCATTTTTTATGTTTTTGGATAATGTTTTTAATGAATATTGTTTCGTTTTCTGATTCCGGAGCCACTCCAGGGTAGATTGGTGAGAATCCAGATTCAATTTTGGTACAGGAACCCCATTTTATATCAAAATTCCGTGTTATGTCTACGCCGTAACTTAGTTGATCGTCTGAGGGCCTTAAGTTCTTTTTCCACGGTATTTGACTCTACAGTGGAATGGAAATGTAATTATTTAGGAATGATTGTCAAAATCAGGTTAATATATTTAAAATATTTAGATTGTTAAATATCTACACTTTAAACTAAATTACCCTGAGATTTCAAACGTTTGAGACTAAAGATGAAATTTTTATGATATTTTAAATCTGTTGGCAGGAAAATTAACTGAATTTGTTTTGAGGAAAAGGTGAACCAATTGTACAGAGATAGAAAAAATAGTGTCTTACGTATCTGGAGTATTCCTGTCCATCAGGGTTGGTACAGGGCAAAATGACCCAATTGACGTTCTGAAGCATTTGGTCGTTTTCCTCGCAGGCGACCAGTTGTTCTATCACGTATAGGGCCAGCCCTACAGACTCCGTGCCTCCTTGCTGACCAGCTTCGATGATGATCGTTGGCTTCGTTTCCTGTTCTTCTGGATTGTCAGTAGTTGGACGTTCTTTGCTTAGAACTACCTGCCGATATTTCAGCATAACATCATTTCGAATTGTATTATTATTATTACTTACTTTCTCTCTCTCTTTAAAAAACTTTGGATTTTCTCCTGTGTCGTTAGTGCGTTTACAATCATACGATTTCACATACACAACACACACAGACCCGAAACAACCATTTGTGGAGTAGTTCCGTGCGGAAATCGCACCCGTGACACGTTGCGGCAGCCAGTTGCCCAGCCAGCGTACCAACCGTGCAGTCAATATACTTAAATATTTTTTTTAAATTCATCATCACCATCATCATCAGACTATAAATGCCAACTACTGAACAAAGGCCTCTTCTCATATGGTTAGAGCATTAATCACCACGCTTGCTCAAGGCGGATTGGCACAATTTCAAACTTATAATTAGAAATTGTAATACCAGGTTTCTTCACGATGTTTTCCTTCATAGTGTGTATGTCAGTGGTGTCTAAATAATCATAGAAACTTGTCAGGCTTAGAACCCGTGATCTCATGCAAGAGAAGCGTCCGTTTCGCCTTACCCTCCGGGCCACCACGACGTTGGTTTTGGAGTTATGATTAAATGTGTGTGTGTATATGTATAATCATATTATTAGTGAGATGAGATTTTTCATAATCTTTTGTTTATTGAACAGTTAGGATTGGTTGCGCTCAAACTATTCGATATTTTATTTAGTTAATTGAAAATTGGCTTAGTTAGCTTCTCTAGATAAGGTACAAACATAATTAAATTACGTAAAATACAAAACAGACATGAAAATGAAATGAGATAGATGCATTTGTTTTTAAAATTGCATCTTCCAATTGACAATTTGTATGATAATTTTCGGGTGATTTTAGCTAAGACCATAGCACAAAAACTATTAATAATCCAGGCCCAATCCTTCCCCTCCCCCAATCCCTCCTAAATCCGTAAATCTCCAAATCCCTAATCCCTAAAAGGTCGGCAATGCACTCGTAACTCCTCCGTTGCGAGTGTCCATGGGCGGCGCTGATTGCTTACCATCAGGTAATCCGTCTGCTCGTTTGCCGACCTATTAAATAAAAAATAATACCCGTTTTAGTCCAAAGAACGTGTACACAAATTAATGAAACAGTACCTCATATAAATGTCGCCCTTCATACGTCATATGTTCGCTTATGACATTAATTACGTCTCCACAAAATTCTCTTAATGCTTTCAAAAATATTGTTACCTGTAAACATAAACTCTTTGTCAATATATAGACGAATATCTGCATACAATAGTACATTATTTTCAAGTCTTACCGTACTTGCACCAATTGCCGCATCTTCTATGCACGACGCCTCGTCCCTGTCTAGTAACGTATGCAACATCTCTTCATAACAAAACCTCAAACTTTTACATCTAAAAAGTACGGTTATATCATAAGATTAAGAAACGATAACATATTATATAATTTTGTAAAATTCTACTTACCCACATATTGCAGCGTCATTTGTTTTATTTATCACTAAAATAAATATAAACTATGTTAAAGTACTGTGTAAATTACTTAAAGCGAAAGATAGGTTAATGAAAATACGAACCAACAATAATTGTGAATAAAAATGTTATAAAAAAACTATTCATCTCTTCGCATGTTAATTTTCACCGACCAAAGCTCACGAGGCAATACTATTACATGAAACACGAAAAGAATTGCAACAGCAATAAAACGTTGGGAAATCAATAAAACCATATCGTTTTAAATGTTTATTCTTATTCACTATAACCCTATTTCATGATATCAGTCTTTAACAATTCACTCGTCCACGGTCACTCTCTTTCTTCTTTGATTACCGAATTCAGCTCTAATTCGGCCAGCAAATTCTTTGAATCCCTCGTAGAATTGGGGTAATATGGTTTTTAAAAGGTTTTCAGGGTATGTGAACTCATATCCTTCAGTCAACTCCATAGTGTAGGAATATGGAACTCCCGCCGCTCCGAAAGCAAAGTCATCGCTTCCACCGGCCGCAGGGTACCATTTACCAGCGCTAAGAACTTTGAATGGTTGTCCTCCAGCACGTTCTACAGCATCTGATACAGCTTTTGCCATATTGTCCAGTTTTTTCCATTGTTTAGGCAAATAATCTCCTGTAAATCCCCATGGGTAGACTAAATATTGTCCGTACGAATGCAGTGATACGTATAACTTCATCCGCTTCGCGTTGTCCATCATTATATTTCTGACCATTCGTGTCTCAGGTTCGGAGAAAGGCTTAGGTCCAGCATACGTCTCTTTGTGGCAAGGATCGTTGGAGACACCACTTACTGCCCACTTGTAGCCATAGTTTCGGTTGCCATCAACACCGTAACATCGGCTGGCGCTGTGCTTTGATCTTGTTTTCCTCCACATGCGATTCTGTAGACAAAAAAATAAAAATGTACGTGTATATTATTCACGAGCAAGTCATACCAAAATTGCATAAAATTGTAGTAACGTACACTGGTGCTGGATCTTGAGTACTCGTAACCATCAGGGTTGACCAGGGGTAGGATGTACCAGTCAACACCATCCAGCTCACCACCTTTCTGAAGGGCTGCAGGGTCGGTGGTAAGACGATGAACCAAGTATAACGCCATTGCTGGTGCTACCCATTCTCTGCCGTGAATACCTAAAATTTAATGTTATTATTATTCCATTAGATTTGTTTTTGTGACATATTGGCAAATAAGCCGGATTGCGTGATGGCAAGCAATCAACTCTCTTGGACAACCGGAAAATCAAAGGAGCTACGAGTGCGTTGCCAGTTTTTCAGGCTTCGGAGATTTGATTGGAGGGAGAGAGAGGAAGGGGAAATATTGGGTCTCCAATAATATAACTTACTCAAGGCGTAACACAACGCTGTGGTCATTTTACATTGGTTTCTTGGGCGAAAGTGGTATGGGTATCATTCCGGTCAGGCTGACTGTGTGCCTATGGGGGGGCCTATGCCCAGCAGTGGACGACATTATGCTGATGATGATGATGATGATGATGATGATGATGACTTAGTGCCAAATCTTCTTTTTTTGTGAGGGGATAATCATCAAATTACTTCTCCCGCCCAGGGCAAGGCGGGAGGGAGTAAAAACCCCCATGTTCCTTGTCCTGCTCTGGGCCGAGGTCGCGGTGCCTTATTGCGCTTACCCCGCAACCCCGGCTTAGTGCCAAAGCTTGGCTATCCCACTTTTTCCTATAATTCAATTTCAATTTACGATAAATATGATATTGTTTATCCAGTATCTATTTAGGTTTTACATTTTTATTCTACCCCTCAACAAATTCTTATAAGGTATAAGTGGGTGGGATATATCTCTATCAAGAAAAATATAATGCAATTACCAGCATCAATGAATATGATGGGATTATTAGCATCTGGTTTGGCAGATATCTTGACTAGCCTCATTTTGCGACCCTGAAAACTCTTGCCAAGTTCTTGGAGCCGAACCAGGCGAGGATATCTCCGTGCTGTGGATTCCAGGTACTCTTGCATCTGAAAGTATACTTGTGTTTAGTAAATTAGAGCGACTGCGGTTCTTAAATACATTTTTCAGTTGGATATTTTTATGTTATTTTTACCCGACTACGGCAAAGCAAAAGAAGGGTTATGATTTTGACTGGTTATGTATGTATGCATGTATGTTCATCCGTTCCCTCGTAACTTCTAAACTACTTATCAGAATTCGACAAATAACATATCATTAGAAAAGTCTTAATTGTCCGCTGGTTATAGGCTATATGGGGTATGCCAAAATCTGATGTGGCGTCATCTAGCGGACAAAACATTCAGAGTAAAAAAAAGTTAAGATAAGTATTTGTTTGGTATCATTTCAAAGCGCTTTACTTGTACATACTTTTTTTTGTTGGACAAGTAGCACAGAGTTAAGCATATGTGGCCAGTCTTGTCCTTTACTACATTAATTTCTTTAATATTTATGCAATATAGAATAAGGCAGACTTAATGCCATATGCATTCTCACAAGGCAACCTTTGGATGATGCAGAAATCTTATGGCAGGTGCAACAAGAAGAAAACTGGACATGGAATTCAACATTCGAAATGTTGCTTTTCATTTAATATATGCATTGCGTGGTGTTTAGTGTAATGTATTTAGATTTATTAGACATTTTGGCTAGATGGAAAACTATGAAGAGTTTAATTGTATAAATCCTACTTGAGTCGATAGAGTAGAATTTAAAACTTACATTTGCATGTGAATTGAAACTAAATATGTCAAATACGTTCAGAATTCTTCTCCTGGGATGTCTATCTGGTACATCCAATATCCTGAAAAAAAACGATACAAACAGTTATTATTTATTTAAAACCAGGTTCTTTTAACCAGCTTCTATTGAAGAGAAGAAGATCCGCTTCGACTCGAGCTAGGAAAATTAGCTAGAAAATACTAAGATAAAGTTCAAATTAAGTCAGTTTATTGGCTCTTTCTAATTGTTTTAATTGGGTTTAAAATGGAAAATTATTTTAATCTACTCATACTCGTAATTATCTCACCTGCCATAATTCTTTTGTTTTTCCTCCAACAAAAGTCCGTTAGAATTTGCATACTCATGCACAAAATTCATTCTGGTTGGTGGCACCAATATATCCAACGTGTCATTGACCCCTCGACTCTCCTTCATAATTTCAATTTCTCCCAAAGGATCGTTAAATTGCGTGACGGATTTCTGGTGTTCCAAAGAGGTCGGATGCAAGCGTATAAGTGTGTGGCTAGAAAAAAAATATAGTGAAAAATGGATTTTATTATCTATTATTATAAACAAAAATTACATCACAAGTCCACTGAATTTTGCACGCTATATACTTATATTTCTCAGTGAAATTCGCAATTTTCCCTTTACACAAACCGTGTCGGCAAATTATTATTAAACAATAATATATTGTTCACCCTAAAATACTATTTTATTGTATTTTCTCATATTGGGTAAGTAAGGCTCTGTAAGAACTTTAAAAATGTAAGGCTAGCGCCTGAAGTGAACTACGTAGCAACAAGTAACTGAATAGTTCAAATTGACTGCACGATTGCGTAGTAGCTGGGCAGCTGGCTGCTGTGCAACGTGTCGCGAGTTCGATTCCCGCACGGACCGACACTTTGCGTGATGCACAAATTGTTGTTCCGGGACTAGGTGTGATATCTACATTTGTGAATTTGTATGTCTGTAAACGCGCCTATGACACAGGAGAAAATCACGTTGCCCCAACGTGATTTTAAAATAATTAAAATAAAATAAATGATATAATTTTGTATATAATTTATACTCACTTATCATACTGGCTGCTGCAGTATATCTGTGATATGAATCCGAACGCGACTGTGAACAAAAAAAACAAATATAAAGAGATACTGTTTAAATGTTTGTACATTGAGTAAAACAAAGTCGCTTTCTCTGTCCCTACGTTTGCTTAAACCTTTAAAATGTGATGCGATTAATTGATGCCCGCTTTTCATGCATGCGAGTACCAATGTGAACTATTCCTAAGTTATATGTATATTCTTACTTTAGATACTTTTTAAAAGAAAGCATTGTGAGGAACTGGATTAATAAATTCTAACTAAGTATAAGTTTGAAATCGCCAATATGCCTTGAGCAAGCGTGGTGATCAATGCTCAAACTTTTGTGTGTAAAGAGGCCTTTCCTCAGCAGTGGGCACGTATAGCGTGATCGCCAGGGAGTTTATCAATATACCTACAGAAAAATAAAAATGCTATATTTAATAACTGGCTTTAAATCAAATGACAATCGCAAGCGCCAGATTATTTTTATTCAAAAATAGAATAAATAACATTTTCAAAAGAAATGAGTTGCCGTACGTATTTTAAAATTATTTCCAAACACGGTTACAACCACGGAATAGAAAATACAGGTTACAACGGTTGTTGTGGACATTATCGACCGTCATAAAATGTCCGACACAGAGCAATCTCCAAACCTTTTATTAATTACACACATTATGAAAATGTTAATTATTCTACAAATGAGGTGAGAAGAGATTTGTGAAAAGGTCGTTCTGATGTACATACCTAAGTAACACAGGTTACATTATATTTGATTTAAGTGTTTAAATGGATTTATTCACTTTTTATATAATCACGAGTGACGAAAAGCTTGTTATTTTGTTTATATTTCTTATATAAACTTCCAATTATAAATAATCGTGAAAATATGAGTTCGTTCGCAACGCATTCAATATTTTTTTTTAAAGTTGAATTTAGTAATCACTTTCTTTCGACGAAATATGTCATAAAAAAACACAAAAAATAAAATATAATTCCTTTCATGATCGGCCATTAAAATGTCTCTCATATATTATGTAGCTAAAATAGTGTTGATAGAGTTTTAATGATAAAAAATAAGAGGAAAAATGGATGGATTTAATTCCGAAGAAATGTTTTTTTTTTGTTTTTTTTTTTGCATATTAAATACTTTAGTCACCAGCAATGCTGCGCGCTACTTTCTATTTCTATGAAATTGTTACGCATATTGTTGTTTTAAGAAATTTGTCTGGTCTGTCGAACTTTACCGAAGTAAACATATTAGATTTGCTTTCTCTTTCTTTTATTGAACGAAGAAAACAAACTGTGTAAATAAATGAAAGAATATAAAAAGAAAATATCTTATTAAAGATCATCTTAAAGGGGAAGTTACACTACTTCTTTAGGAATATAACAATGGCTACTTTTTACCCTGCTATGGCGGACGAAGCAAATGGCAGAATTTTTTATTGAATATTTATAAATGTAATAGAGCCATGCAGCATTACGAATGGATTGACTAGGTCAGAATGACACCACGTCGTCACAGAATAAAGGCGTGAAACAACACATACGTTATGTTTTTGTGAGAAAGGATATCAGAGGCTGAAACCTCCGACACCTTGCATTGGTCCTCTATTATCAAAAAACCCTAAAAATCGTCAAAATGCCGTGTGAGTGAGGAGATCGGAGGCTTAATCCTCGTAATGAAGTGCCCTAGAATAATAAGGACGATGACACACCGCTGCTTCATAAAAAACAGGTAAAATTCATTTCTGAATTTCCAAATGTTGTATCAAAATTATCTTACAAGTATAAAAGAGTAATTCAAAATTGGTGTTAATTATGTGTGTGCCACCTAAACGTTAGTATTGGTCCTCCATCGCTGCCCTATTTGTGTCACCGCTTTCAGGACAGAATATTTGCTTCGAACGATTCTTTAATTTGTTGTAACATTTATCGTGTTTCTCTGGCTTCAGATAATTGAGCTCTCTTTACAGAGACGTGATCTGGCTTCAGTTCTTAGGCCAATTTCGAATCAATTGACATCATTACAGTCCCTTTGATGGAGAATCCTCAATGATTTTAATTTAATAAAATGAGAACATTTCCTATTGAATTCTTATTAGCTGCATTTCTATGAAATTAAAGTTCAATTCATCGTGGTCTTTTGATCAGTTCGTAGGAAGCTAATTTCAAGTGATTGGAATGATTGCACACTTATATGGTATGAAGGGAATAAATCCTTGGGTTTATATTGAAATATATTTTCTGTATTCATTAATTAAGTGGTATCATTATCAATAAGGAGCTTATTGATACATAATTAAGTATAAAAACTTATTCTGTTTACTGTAAAGGACGTGATTGTTAAATACAAATTTTGTTTAAACCATATTTATGAGATGTATTTAATTGGCGTTATCCTCTTTGAGTTTCAATATCTTGATGTTGGCAGAATGTTCTTCATAAAAGTTTGTAAACATCGACTTCGGCATCATTGTCGCCTGATATGTTTATTTATGCGTAATCAATATCCGCATCATTTGTAAATTTAAAATCTGTTCTAATAGTATAAAAAGCTAAAAAAAAATGTTTGATTGCGCGAATCTCCGAAACGATTCGAATTGATTGTTTGATTCGATTCTTTCAATGTTGGATAGTAGATTTACCGAGAAAGGCTGTAATGTACTTTTTATCTTTAACATGTATGTAGTTTATTATAGTACCTACGCAATAGAAAATTTAGCTAACTTTTTTTATAGTAAGTATTCATACTCCTTGCATAACTAGGTATTGTTTATTTTCGTAGCCATATCATTAATTAGCAAACGCATAATGACTGTGGCTTACGACATCATTATATTGGAATGGCCACTTAAAATTTCGATAAAATTAATGGAGCTCTTTATTTTTCGTGAAATAAAAGCTTCGGCAACCACAGCAAATATAAATAGAGTCACGTTTTATACGAAAACTGTTAATTAATTGCATTAATACTTGAACACGTAAGTAGGTAAAACTATGGTAAAGTTATTATTAACAAAAATGAAAAGAGAGCCTTATTAGTAGTTTTTTTAAGTGGGAAGTGTCATCAAATTAATTTTCTAGCCCTGTATGAGATGAGAGAAAGTGTCATACAAAACCATCCTGTTTATTCTAGTAATGTCAAATCTGTTTATGTATAATATATAATAGCATAACTATTTTAAACAAATTAAACAAAACTTGTAATTATTTATTTCTGAGAACAATAGGTAGGATTCAGTTACACGTAGTCTGGCAACATCGTGTCCAGGCTAATAAACATGCTCGGTTTTAGGAACGGATCTCAATATTTGCGAGAAGCAGTTAGGTAATATTTGCTTGGAATCGATTAAATTTGTTCGTCTTCTCAGAATTTAAAATCCACGTAGCTATAATTGGTAAATTAACCTTCGATTTTTTTTTATTTTTAATAGATGAGACTGTTATTGTGATCTCACAACGATTGTGATGACGAATTGATTGCAGCGTAGAAATTTGTCACCCTTACCCTATCCGTGAGTGGCGGGGTTGCGGGGTAAGCGCAATGAGGCACCGCGACCTCGGCCCAGGGCAGAGAAGGAACAGGGGGTTTTTAGTCAGTAAGAGTCTGACACTCCCTCCCACCCAGCCCTGGGCGGGAGAAGTCATTTGATGATTTTCCCTCACAAAAAAACCCTATCCGTGTCTAAGAACCATCTCTGAGTCAGTAAGAAGGAAGGTTTTAGAAGTTCAGGTGTAAGATGTCAGAAGAAACTATAACTATGTTTTTTTTTGGTCAAAAGTCTTCGAATGTTTTCTCTTGCCGGAGGTGGGGCAAAAGGGAGTCTCAGACTCTTACTGAGTAAAAACCTACTTTGCAGTTGCATCTTCAACCACAGATTGGATGTAATAGGGGGTAATCTTGGAGAGGTATGTGATTGTAGTAATAATTTATCCTAATAAAAAAATCGAAATATCGAATATTTCACCAAGACTTTGAGATCGAGAATATGTAAATCGCTTCAGTATGATCGTAATAAAAAAACAATAACTCAACAAATGCATCACAAATCCTTTCTTCACGGTCGATAATTATGTAGGATTCTTTAGCGAATGTTTGTTTCTTATATCACTATATCGGTGCGCATTGAAGCAAAAACACAAAAAATCTTACTAATATTATAAATGCGAAAGTTACGATGTAAGTTTGGATGTTTGTTGCTCAGTGACGCCAAAACGGCTAGACGGATCTGGATGAAATTTGGCACAGGCATAGGATACACTCTGGAATAAGACATAGGCGGAAGCTATTCTGTTTATAGATAATCACAATAATGGCCTACTACCACAAGTCGCAGATTCGAACGTGTTTGAATCCACGTGTTGTTAATTTTCGTCCGCCATCTTAATTTTTCTCAGTCATTGCACACACCCGGTGCTGGTAGCGTCCCAGGAGCAAGAGAGCAAGCTCCATCGACATTCATACTACCGACAAATTAAACTGACCCATAGACAATATGAAGCTCATTACATTAAGACTCCTTTATTAATTCTCGCAAGTCATTGAAGTGACCACATCATTCAAAAAATGTTTTTCTACCCAATCGTACTGTTCCATGCAGAGATAATATGTAGGTGCCGACAGTGTCAGACTCTTACTAAAAAACTAAAAGCCACCCCGTTCCTTCTCCTGCTCTAAGCCATGGCCGCAGTACATTTTAAGGCTTGATAGTGGGTGCTACGAGAACATGGTATTATAACACGCACCTTTGCTTATCCCTTTGCGGATTAAGAGCGGTCAAGTGTATATGGAATGTATGTGAATAGAGAGTTCTTTTTTCAAAGATTGCATAAAAAAAACGTGACAGTTTACTATCAATAAAATAATTGAAGTCACAATAAAATCGATTCAAGTGTTGATAATTTAAATTAAGTGTAACAACACAAACAACATACAAAATATTAAAAAAAAAACAATCAATGGCTACACGAAGTGATGAAAACAATATTATAACTGTGAAACTGTCGAAGTAAGTGTTCAATAAAGCGATAAGGAAAACATACTATGTATAGCTGCATACTTATATTATAATATAATAACTTCAGAGTTACATAAAGGCTGTAAAAAGCAATTATTAATTGTGGCAACGCACTCGTAACTTATTTGGTGTTGTCCATGGGCGGCTCTGACTGCTTAGGTACTATCAGGTAAATCCGTTTGTTCGTTTGCCGACCGAAAAAAAAAGATCATTATAATTTGTTGGAGTCAACCACAGCCTTGTATTTTACTGTGTGAGTAAACTCCCTGTCAACCAAATCTTGCCTTGGGGAAGGCTTGTTTCGGGCTTAGATCCTAAATATCCAGAGGTATCCTAATAATGAGGATTTTTTTTTCTTTATGTGATAGGACGGCTAACGAGCAGACGGATTACCTGATGGTAAGCAATCAGCGTCGCCCATGGACACCCGCAACAAAGAAGGAGTTACAGTGCGTTGCCGACCTTTTAGGGATAGGGATATCTGTTTATTAAAATTGTCATTTTCCTTGCTGCCGGCCAATTGCTCCCAATCCCCACGAAGTTATATTACCAGCTAAGTTTTTTTTAAAACTAACATTTTATTTCCTCCTACGGAACTTGTAATAAGCAAGTCGGACTTGCACTTATGTACTTTCGTATTGTATTTATAATTGTGCTGTAATTATAAGCCTGCACTTCTTTTATGTACCACGCAATGTTTCTGTAATTAAATACTAAATGCCTCGATCAACAAGTGGTTGTGCAAACTATTGTGAATCACAAGGGTTTGATATGCAAGGAAGTAAAAGTGTGAATATGACTTTGTATAAGGTACATAATATATTATCGTAATAAACATTATCAATTGCAAGGTTGGCGCAGCGGCTGGGCAACTGGCTGCTGTGCGACGTTTCTCGGGTTCGATCATCGCACGGAACAAAACTTTCTGTGATCCACAAATTGTTGTTTCGGCTCTGGGTCTGATGTGTATGCAAATCAACAAATTAATTAATGAATTTGTTCGCTCCCACGACACACGAGAAAATCGAAGTAAGTAAAAAAATATTAGAGACAATTTTAATCACAAAATAGAAATTTAACTCCAACACTTCAGTTTATTTTACTTATCTAAATAACCTATTAACATGAGCCTACACCTAAGTACTCACTACTGAGAGAAAGCCTCTTCTCAGCGTAAGAAGATTTGAAATTTAATCACCAATCTTACTCAAGACGGTTTGGTGATTTTAAAAGAATAAATATAAATTATCTTATAAAGAAAACATCATGAAGTTCCTCACGATATTTTCCTTTACCATTTTTATTAGGTAGTGTCTAAATCAAAGTAGGAAGTAGGTATATTTAACTCAGAAAAAGTCACATTGGTCAATTGTCAAGTTTGGAACTCGCTCCCTCATGCAAGAGAAAAAGCCTAAAGATTAAATACTCCTTTATCTTCAGGCCACGTCCTAAAAAACTTATAGTCAGCATAATTAAGTAGGCAAATTCAACTTTAATTCTGTTAGTTGACGATACATATACTCCAATAAGTAATTTTTACGAACATATTTCGTTTTACTATAATCCATATCTGGTAATAAATATAGGCCTAACAGCGAAAGTAAAATCACAGACTCGATCGCAACTACCGCAACGTTCAGATGTCTGCTCTTCCCAAAGGAAAAGGAGCATGACGGTTTGACGGTTCATTATCACATATAACAAGTCTATTCACACTATAAAAACCATCATATTGTATTAAAAATAATGAGAAAATTGTTTGAACTTGACCTTAACAATTTTTTTATGTAAAATAAGTACAATGCTATAACTAACTTCCATATATAAATTCAAAAATCGAAATAAAATCACTCACCGAACACAATAAGTAAAGACGCCATTTTGGTTCACTTCATAAACAATGTTCACAATTTTTTTTAAAGAAATAACGATAAATAATTGTTTTTTAAAAGTGCGTTCTAAAGATGGCGGTCGGTGCGCGCGTGTACGCGTCGCGGTGTGATCTCGCGCACTGCGTTTGCGCAGCGTCTTGGATCCAGGCCACGAGCCACGAGGGAATCTTCGCGCAAACGTAGGTAACGGTAAACAGCAACCCTAAATTATATTACCAACCAAGGACGCACAAAATTATACCGAACACTAACCAATCATAAAATTCACATAAAAATTACCCATTAAGTTATTACTAAAAATGCGCTTAAATTTTAAGTATGAATCACGTTATACAATTCTTAATTACATGCGTTGTAAGTTCCTGCTTATTTATTTTGTTTTACACGTAATAGTCAAGACTTGCACAATCAATGATAATTTATTTATTTATCGTAACCACTTACGGACTTCACTTTCAAGGAAAGTTTTATTTAATTTATTATATACATATAGTTTAGGTTAAGTAAGTATACATTTATCTACGCATTGTTTGCACTTTAAAAAATATTATTTTTATTGTATGCGCTTATAGTTTGAGTGCAAATATAATTTATTTAGATACCAGTCTAGTATATCCAAAATCTTACAAAGAAGGCGTAAAAATAGTGAGAAAGAGACGTAAAGAGAGAGTGAAAGAGAAAGGGGATGGTTGAATAATATTATTAATATTCTTTGACAAGGATATGATGAAAATTACAGCTACATTTGTTAATTATGTGCACCGAATGAAAACCTCCGACCATTTATAATCGATTTTCTTAATTTACACTGTTTGGTGCAAAAATCAATTAAAAGAGGCATTAATTTCTTTCTTTCTTATTTGAACTCGTAAAGTTAATTGAATCCGGTTCATTTCCGATCATTGATATTCGATTTGATTGATATCGCATTCATTATTCGCATCGCTGCTTTAATGCTGATAAAGAACTGTTTTTCTGTGTTGTATAACTACTAGTTGAAAAACTCATATATATTTGTTATTCATATACATTCAAAAACATCACATTCCTTGGTTTTTCTTAGATTATATTTTTGTATACGTACTTATATAATACATAATACTAGCTACTCTAGCGCGGTTTCACCCACTGCTCGGCTCCGTTTAATCATAGCGTGGTGTTTTATAGCCTATAGCACTCATGAACATTGTAGCTATCTATCATTGAAAGAATTTTGGGAATCCGACCAGCGGTTCCAAAGATTATCTCCTACATACAAACTTACAAATTTAATACGTCTTTGTAATATTAGTATAGATTTCCAAGTTCTCTTCTTGTTGCACCTACAATACACTCTCTGCCGGTTGCGGGGCAAGCGCAATTAGAAGAAGAAGGAGCGGAGGCGTTTTAGTCAGTAAGAGTCTGACAGTCTCTCTCGCCTTACCCTTGGCGGAAGAAGACACTTGATAATTTTCCATTTACAAAAATAAACCATACACTCTCTGTATCATTTTAAGGTTGACTGGTAAGAATGCCTTAAGTTCTCCTATGTAATGTTATGTTGCATAAAGATTAAATAAATAAATATTTTTTTGCGCCGTGACCGATGCGCTCCGTGGTAGAAAAAAAGTTTAATAAAAGTAAATTTTGAATTAACGTATCGTGTAGGTTATATTATCTCCGGAACACGGACAAAGCCGCTGGCAGACGCTAGTTAAGATTATCATCCATGATTATGTGTCATTCTAACTAGGTAAAATAACCAAGGCTACACTAGGTAGCAAAAAGATTTCCAATTTAAACAAGCAACGCATTTCAAAACTTTCATCTCTATTCTAAAAGCAACATGAATCATTTTCCCATTACAAATATTCGTTTATATAAACATAAACTTACATAGCAAAATTATTTGAACGAGCTGATTCGGAAATCAATAACTACAGCACAAACAGTAATCTAGGTCACAGCTAGACCTAAATACAGGACCTATATTACTATAGGCTTTATATTTGATAACCAGGAATGATGGATCGCATGGAATCTGAAAGCTGCAATCTGTTAATACCGAAATTCGGTAATCCGTCAAAATGTATATGTAGTATGTTTTCCAAAGGCTTATAAATCCATCTATACTAGTGGAAAAGCCGATGATGATGGAAAGTTTTGGATGGACGGAGACAATCAGCTCAGAAAGTAACTTTAATGAGTCATCAACTAATGAACACATAGTCAGAATCTTCGTGTTAGGAGTCTGAATGAAAGACCCCTAAAGACCCGTTGAGTAATGTTTTTTATGTGATACGACGGCAAACGCGTTCCCGGATTACCTGATGGTAAGCAATCAGCGCTGCCCATTAAAAACAACAACGGAAGAGTTACAAGTGTGTTGCCGACCATTTGGGGATGTAGGGATCGGGGAAGGGGAAGGATTGAGCCTCCGGTAACCTCACTCACACGGCGAAACATAACGCTGTGGGTGTATAACGCCGTTCTTCTGTGCGGAGTTAATATTTCAAGTTCAAAATTACAGTCTTGTAGCAATAACACGAAGTCTAGACTCTCTCATTCAAAAATTGCGATTTTCGATAATTGCTTGACTTCCTTATTAAAACAGTCGTGTATTAAACCACACTTGGTTTATGTTAAAACAGATCTACGCTCGAATCTTTTAGTGAAAATGCTTATGCATTGTTAATATACAGTTTCTACATGACTCAATCTAGTAATACCGTAAACTAAACAAATGAACGAGTTAATCAAGGCGTTGCGGGCCCAATAATGTCATGTACCGTACTGGCGCAGAACCACCTACATAACGGTCCCATTGTCAGTGGCAGAGCGACCACTGTTACTAAGTCACTCCTCGTCATATGATGACAAAAGTTTCGATGACTCTGAGCTTAGGTATAAACAGTACCTACTTATCCTAATGGAGGATGAGATGTCAGATTCTGCTGTTAAAAGCACCCAGTTCCTTCCTGCCTTCCGGCTCCAGGCTGAGGCTGTGGTACATAATTTGCTCCCGCAACCCGCTAAACATCAGCCCTATTGAGCCACTTCTCCTGGTGGTCAAGTCTTTAAGGCGCGCGAGGATCGCTGCCCACTTTATGCTCGCGTATATTAAGAGTAGGATCGTAATGTGGGCAGGCCTCCCGCTAGGTGGACTGACGACATTGTCAGAGTCGCGGGCAGCTAAAGGATGCAGGTGGCAACTTGTCATTCAATGTGGAAGACTAAGGGGGACGCCTTTGTCCAGCAGTGGACGTCTTCTGACTGATTATGATGACGACGATGAAGATGATATTAAGAGTGTAACAGTACGCAAGTGTTACACTGTTTAATAGCTGTATCGTTTTTAATGATTATTTTCTATAATAAAAGAAGAATGTCACTTGGTTATTTCAACTAATCCTAACTGATAATATGGATGCGAATATAAGTAATTTTGCTCCAAATAACTTGTAACGAAAACTTTTAGGTAACAAATGATAATTTAAACGTAGCATAGTTTAGTTTATAAATGAAGGTAGTAAAAGATCTATATGTTAATACTGCTATTTTAAAAGTTTTCTTTTATTTACTTTAGTCCAAAGCGTTTGTGGTTTCAGAAATATTTTAGTAGTGATACACATAAAGACCTTTGTGAACACTGAATAAATACTATTCATTTTGCCTTTGCAGAAGAGTGCATTGATCTTAATTTAATCCAAACTTTAATAATGGCGTAAAATAGTACGAATTTGAATAAGTATTTTTTTACTTTTTTCTTCTTAAGCTATATTTGTAACTATCGTATGACATCAGACATGTCACTATAATTATCTTTTTCACGTAAATATTCGGGGTAACTCGATTGGTTTCAAGCTACGCCAAAACCCTTAATCATGAACATAACTGTAATTAACATGCTTTCTGTTTCAATCGTCTATATACTTGTTTAAATACTGTAACAAAATTCTCTCTAGTCTACTGTTACATACTAACAGTAAAGGTTAGTATTTATCTTCACCGAACTATTGTATACGTGAGTGCAATGATCGCTTAAAATATGACAAAATGTTCTGTTACGCATGTAGCTGTCACGATAAATCATATTCAACGGTTTTACTTATCATAATATCTTAAGTTGAGTGCTTAGTGCGAGTTTGCTTTATATTAAGGCGATTGACACGGTTATGACGTTCAGATTCCTGATTGGCCTATTCCAAGTTAATCAACCAATCAGAGGCCTAAACGCGCTAACGTGGCTATCGCGTTACTGTAAAGAAACACGAGTGTTTTATTTAAATTTCGTAATCAGGAGCCATTTTTTTAAGAAAAACATTGCTCCATTCATGATTTTCTCCTGTGTCGTGGGCGAGTTTACAAGCATACAATTGCATATACACATCACACCCAGGCCCGGAACAACAATTTGTGGCTCAGGTATAGAGTTGTTCCGTTCCGGAATCGAACCTGCGAACGTTACGCAGCAGCAAGTTGCCTAGTCACCGCGCCAACCGTGCAATAAATTCGCCGCCATCAGGCCTGATGGTAAGCGATGATTTGACCAACGAAGAACACCCATAAGCAACCTATTCACTCGAGCTTATATTATCCACTAAGTATTCTGATGTGTTTTGCTTGACTTTAATCTCTGGTTAGAGTTTCTAAAAATAATTTTGAAAAATCGAAGTCAATGTGTAGGACCATTTTTATTGAGTTTCTGTGCAAAAGTGAATCTTTTCACGTACTTTATAGGTAATAAAATCGGTTATTCATGTCAGTGTTAGACCTAATAGTCTTTTATAATTTCAGCGAGCTAAGCTTCGAACACAGCCACATTTAATGACAATGAAAACTATTCCTTAGTAAAGATCTTATTCCGAAAATATTTGCTTAGGGACTGGGTTGAAAAGCCATTGGATGTTTCTAAATACGGTTCATAACTAAAAACATCATTAAACAAAAATGCCATAACAGAAAGGCGTGGTCTCTTCAAATGGAACTTCCACGTGCGTCACGTGTGCCCCGAATACTACCTACCGGTACCAGGTTACCATAAAACATAAGTAGTAACAACAAACACAAAGGCTTAAAAACCACGAAAAGCTATACATACGTTCACTTTCTTCGTTCTCTCTTTCATGAGCCGTTTTGTATGCAAAACCAGTTCCACGCGACAACCGGCTTGACACACTTACTTACATGTATACAAATAACGATTTAAAATACATTGACGGTTTAGTTAGACACTTAAATCATCAAACACGTGACAAAACAGCAATGTAACGCGTATACAACAATTTCGCCGTTTTATTGTTCCAAATTTTGACAGAGCAGATTATTGATGACGCTTAGTTTAAATGGGAGAGAAAGTGTCAGTTATGAGCGGTCAAAGTCGTCATTATTTGACGAAGGAGTGTTCGTTGATTGAGGCTGCTAAAAAGTTGTATGTTTACGTTAAAACCTTTTATTTTAAACCTGAGAAATGTGTTACTCAAGTCGTGAGAGCTATCTCAATAAAAATATAGGCTGTATGTATAGTTTGCTTCAAAGAGCCAATAGACCACCACAGAAATGGTCCAATAGGGTAGATGTTGAACCAGGGTAGAACATGGCGGGGCAAGGGTAATAAGGTACTTCAGGAGAAGAATCGACCTCCCGTTCTTTCTCCTGCCCTGAGTCTTGATAAGCAATCGGTACTAAATATTGCAAACGAATTGCCTCCACCTTTTTGGACTTAGGGACTAATTGATGATTGGGGAATTAGTGATTGGGTGGTAAAGTTTTAGGCTACGGTACCCTCACTCACACGGTGAAACACAACGAAAGTACCTATTTATAGTTATTTCATATCCTTGTTTCGTCTAGTGGGACTAATTCGGTCCGGCCCATTTCTGCCGAAGCACGGGTCTTCCACACTTACCACAACATCGTGTTGTATTCTTGAGTAAGGCAATGCTTGAGTGACATTGGTCGAAAAAAGGGGATGATTGATAAACAAAAAACATTCCTGACTTCTCTAATTCCCACTCGCAAGACTCCCTCGGTGACACAGAGTCTGTAACATTGGTGTTGCTATCAAAATCCCCCGCTGTGACAGTAATTATCCTCTATTAATTATGTTACACATACTTGCTACATTTCATTGACAACGTTAATTTATCTTAATTCAATAGCCATCGTATTTTTTTCTACTTTTGTGGAGCTTCTTTATACAAAGGAACAGCTTCGTTATACCAAACTGTGCACTCAAATATTTAATATATGTATATATATAACAAGAGAAAATTTAAAGACAATTTAACATTTAGAAACAATAGTTGTGCTGCAACTCCATGCTGTGCATTTTCCAGATTTGTTTTTTTTCATGTGATTGAACGATCAACAAACGAATGACCTGATGGTAAGCAATTTGGCGCCGCTCATGGACGCTAGCACCCCAACACCAAAGTTTCCAGTCGATTATACTCGTATAAATGATAAAATTGTAGCTGCTTTCGCATGCTTTCACCCGCTGCTCAGCTCCATTTGATCGTAGCGTGATGTTTTATAGCCTTTAGCACTCAGGAACATTGTAGCTATCTATCAGTGAAAGAATTTTGGCAATCCGATTATCGGTTCCAAGAATTACCCCCTATGTACAAACTAACAGACTAATATTTACCTCTTTGTTATATTAATATAGATAAATTTGTCTTTATTTATTAATTTATATCTTCTTCACACAAAACAGTCTGAATGGCCGAATGAATGCCTTAAGGCATTCTCTAACAGTCAACCATAGAATAGTACAGAGCAGTTGGTGTGAAGCAAGGACACGGTATCCCACATCTTCAATCCTCGATCCCCTACCCTTAAATCCCTAATACAACAGACCGGCAATGCACTTGTAGTAACTCCTGTAGTTCTACGAATGCCCATGGACGACGCTGATTGCTTGCCATCATAAAATCCGTTTTCTCGATTACCAACCTACAACATAAAAATACATTATTATAAAATTACAGTCTTGTTGGACTTCAGAATAATAAAATGTCGAAAACCTTTAGACGGCGAAAGGTGAAGCCATCGTCTTAAACTGACAAATCTATTTCATACTCACAGACAAATATGGATTAAGAATATATTACTAATGACAATGTACTTATTATTTATTTATATTTTGTTGAAAATCACAACAGTGTACAGATATTGAATTTCGAATATTAACAGTAGGTGGCGAGCCGCATTGTTTTACATGCACTAGATTTTACAAACTAATACTAACAGTAGATATATCTATTCAATTATTTTGCAAAAGTATTTTTTTAACTTAATTTTAAACGGTCTGCCGGTCTGCCGGTCTGCCGGTAGGCTATTGAGCACATTTATTAGTACACGTTTCTTTAAAGTTCTATTGCCAAAGTACACCTTAAGACCAATAGAATGATTGTTTATTAACTTAATTTTTATTTATTAATACACTAATGTTTTATTATTTTTTCGTATCGCCCATACGCAGGCTCTTCCACATGTTGTTAAAGACTGTGTTTATGAGACGGCTCCAGATCTCGGTGAGGGCGTAGTGCTGTATCGGATACCCTGACCCCTCCTGCTGGTACAGCTGCATCACAAACTCAAACGCATAAGGGATGCCGTAAACCTGCCAGAAAAAAACAAAATAATTTCAATAAAATTTTACATTTAGGAAATATAGTCCATGCTGCATGCAAACTCCATGCTGACCACATTTGCCAGTTTTTTTGTTATAGGATGACCAACGAGTCTCCGGACTACTGTTGGTAAGCAATCAGTCATGCTCGTCGATGCCCCAAAACACCAGAGCAGTTGTGAGAGCGTTGCTGGTTTTTAAGGGTGTAAATGTCTTTCATATGCTGCAGGCCGCTTTGATTATGATTTCTAAGAACTTTCTGAATAATAGTTGTATATAAATGTTCTACTAATTTGGTATTCTATCGAGTTCTACTAGACAAATTATTGACAATGTTGCCCGCTACTATATTTGGTTGTTTACCGCAGCTGCGTAGTCCACACTCGACCCTGATATCCTTCCATACCAGTTGTACAGGGACTCAACAGCTACTGACATTACTCGGAAGCTAGCATTCTTCATAGCCTCGTCAACCTCTCCTTTCAGGTCAATATATTTGTCGTCATCAAATTGCGTTTCTGTATACCCATAAGGGAATAAGATGGCATCACCCTACAAACAAAATTAGAATGAATCTTGAACAGTTCTTTTTAAACAAAAACTTACTTCCCACTTGGGTGATCCTAATATAGAATCAGCGACATTATCAACGTAAAACGGGGAAACCTGAACTTGTAATGTCTAATTCATATAAAATAAAGGCAAGGCCTTGAGCAAGAGTGTTGATTAATGCTCAAAACTTTTCGCTCAGCAGTGGGCATTTACTGATGATGATAATGATGAATAGAATCACTATACTATTTGTTTGATAAACGGACTATCTGTAATTCAATCTTTCATTCTAATTAACAACTGACCTTTTTAAACAAATAGCAATCTCTGTTATAAGAAAAAGTATAATACCTTAAAGACTTTGCTATCATATGTTCCCGAATGCACATTGATGTATGCTAAGATTTTATGGCCAAAATAGTGGAAAATATTCCGGATAGCATTTGTTTCTACTTCAGAGAATGGCGCTGGACCTGGGTACAGCTGGCTGCAAGAACTGATTGGACGAGAGGAATTCCACGCCACGTCAAAATTACGATCCAAGTACACTCCACGGCAAGCCTCTTGAGGCGACGCATTCTTGTTCCACATCATACCATTCTAGTGAATAAAAATACTAATATCAGTAAATTGAGTATAAATTTTTTCTAGCTCTAATTATTTTTAAAAAGAGTATACCTTTTAAAACCTTTACTAAAAAACTTCAATTGTCAAATTAACGTAACGATCTTTTGGGCACCCTACCTCACAACAACAATCCTAATTTTTTGATGCATATTGGGTATGCATCTACGTAATAAATTTTAGTTCTTTTTCATTAATTGCTATTAGAATACATATAAAACAAATGAATAGAATAACAAATGACAGTAAACAATACTAGACTAATACCTAGGTAATTTGCTACTCACTTCGTTATGAGTAAGGGAGTATCCGTCAGGATTGGCCAATGGTATCAAGAAAATGTCAAATTTATCTAAATGATTTAAATAGTATGACATGAGTATCTTCAATTCTTCTACAGAGGAGAGATGTTCCATCGCAGCCATCCCCATGACGCTCAACCCATGGACTATAAATATGATCTTCTTCTCTGGAACTTCGTCTACATATTTGCTCTCTTCAACTCGGAAATATCTTTGTTTTCTATCAGTAATTTTGACAATAACAATGTCATTATATTCAGCAGTCCGACCAATAATTTCGAATGTTGAGTTCGCGGAAGGGAAACAGTCCATCACCATTTTCATTTGTGTCATTATCTGTAAATATACAATAATACTTTTATTCTTTCAAACTTACAATTATGTTTTATCACTGCAGACAAAAGAATAGTATCTTATATCTGTATTACATTATTGTATAGTGGGGAAATATCACATAGCACACATTTCCGAAATGTGTCAATCTTCCTTTTCCTCCATCCTTTCCATGTTTTAGTATTTGTCTTATGGTGGCAAACGAGCAGACGGAATACCTGATGAAATTTTGGCATTTAGTATATAGGGATTGGAGATAAGAAGGCCCCCTTCTTGGGTCTCCAGTAACCTTACTTACGCGATATAATGCAACGCCAACCTCAAAGAGCCCATTATAGACACACTACCTAGACCCACAACTGACAGGACCCAAAAGAGCTGATTGTGTGGGAGAAGCGCAATAAGTTACCGCGGCCTCGGCCTAGAGCAGGAGCAGTAACGGGAGGTTTTTTTTCAGTAAGAGTCTGACACTTCAACTCTCTATACCCTAGGCGAGCGGAGTCAATTAAATATTTTCCCTCCTCAAAAAAGCTATATCACTCTGGTTCCCTAAGAGGCTGAGGTATCACTCCGGTGCGGTGATAGAAATATTTGCAGGAACCAAAACACCTACATACTTTGGAATAGACAAAAACACATCATTATTTACTTAATCAGCCTTACTTACGGCGTATGGACTGAGTGTATTAGGGGGCGACTCATATTTAGATCTTTGTGCATTGTTTATTTTTTTCACTGAACTGAAAAATAAAATAGAGCGAAACATGTTACATGACTTTGCATAAAAATATTTATTTTTTTATGAATATAGTAATAGAAATGTTATTTTAAAATTTTGAGATTTCAACTTCTTGTAACACTATCATTTTCTCTTATGTTTAGTTACCCAAAGTTTTTTAATTAAGATTAATAATAACCTGCATTCACGTTTAGTTATGGCACAACACAATGGTGATACTTACTCATCAAATTGGTTCAGTGCCATAGGTGGCATTCTTGTTGATCTGAAATCATGTTAAAAGTTTAAATAAATAAAATGATATGCAATCTGAACAGTCGAAACCACAGCGTTGTATTTCGCCCTGCGTAAGAGGTTACTGAAGGCCCAATCCTACCCCCTACCCCTATCCCTCCACAATCCCTAAATCTTCGAAACCCTTATCGCCAAAAGGCTGGCAACGTACTCGTAACTTCTCTGGTGTTGCATATGTCCATGGCCGTTTGCCTCGTGCCGTGTATGTCGATGATGACTGACATGATTTAAGTAGCGATGATGTCGTGGTGGCCTGGAGATTAAGGCACCCGCTTCTCATATCGAAGGGTGCAGGTTCGAAACATGGCTAGTACCAATGTGACATTTTCCGAGTTAAATGTACTTTCAATGATTATTTAGACACCACTGACATACGGTGAAGGTAAACATGAGAAAAATTGGATTTATAATCTCTGATTATAAGTCTGAAATGTCCGCCTTGAGCCAGCAATTATTGCTCAAACCTTTATGTGAGAAGAGGTCTTTGCTCAGCAGTGGGCCCTTATAGGCTATTGATGTATGATGTGATGTGAAGTAGCGATTAAACCTAACCACATTATTAAAAATGTCTTCATTAAAAGATAAATGTTAACAAACATTGACTTAAAAATGTCTTCATTAAAAGATAAATGTTAACAAACATTGACTTAAAAATGTCTTCATTAAAAGATAAATGTTAACAAACATTGACTTGTATATTAACAAACATTGACTTGTATATAAATGAGGTACATTTATCAAAAACGTGAACTTAAAATAATTCCACCTCAGTGCTATCTTGTCTTTCTTTCTGTGTGTTCTTAATTTCGATGGATTCGGGGTGGACCATTCCTTCACAGTGTTCCAAACGCGGCTTGGGAGTGATTCTTGACGTAATTTGTTTAATTTTGTTTTCTTTGTAGTACCAGTTGTAGTATGTTTACTATGAATCTCGCTTTTAATTTTATTCCTTTTTATATTTATGTTAGATTTAATATCTTTCTTGCGGTCCTCAGTAGAAGTTATGTCATTTTTACTGTATTTTATTTCATGATGTATCTTTTTTTTATTTTTCTTTGGCTTAGAATTACTTTTTTCATCACGGTCTCTATGCTTTCCCTCCGTGATGCGAGATCTTTCGTAAAAGATTTTTTCATTGTGTTCTTTCTGATTTTTGTGATTTCTATCACTGTTCTGATTCGAGTTGTCTTTTTCTGAGATTTGAGTTTCACTTTTACCATGTTTATCTTTCTGCCTTTCAATAATTTTAGTTTCATCCTTCGTATCCATATGTTTTTTCTTCTCGTTGCTATTTGAATCAGTTATTTTGTTTTCATTTCTAAATTCTATGTAATTGTTAGTAAGATTATTAAGGAATTCTCTAATTTTTGAATCGATTGAATCACTAGAAATTTCTTCGGATGAATATGTATCATCTTTGTATGTTTCACTGTTTTTTACAAAACGTGTCATACCCGACTTCGTCCCGTTGTCGTACCTGTTTTAAAAAATCATCATCATCATCTGATTCACCAGCCTTTGAATCTCCTCTGCTAGGTATAGCCCAACCCCTGATAAGTAGGTCACTTACCTTACATCACGGCCTCTGATTTCATCAAATTATAATTAATATTATCGATACAATTTATGTTAAAGCAAACCAAATTGATTGTTAGAAAATAAACTGCAATCTGTTGTTGATTGCAAAACAAGCTGCAGTAAGATTGATAACTAAATTAATCTACATTTATGAACGAGATGTATAAAATTATGTTGAAGGAATGTTTTACTTTTGGTTTTGAGCCTTTTGTTTCATTATTAATTTCCTTTGACTTTGATCATAGTTTAGTCTGCTGTCCTCTTTACCCTTTGGATAATCTGTTTTTGTTGCTTTCCTACAAAAGGTATAATAGTTACTTTTTAATTTATATTAGCACTTGTTTCTATTGTAATTGATTCTGTGGCGCGCTTTCACTCGCTGCTCGGTTCCTACAAATCGTAACGTGATATTTTATAGCCTTCCTCGATGTAATCTAATATAAATTGTAATGTAAGTAACAAACACTTTTGAATTATTCAATCCGAACCAGTAGTTCTAGGGATTAGCGCGTTCAAACAAACAAACTCTCCAGCTTTATAATATTAGGATAGATAACATAAACTCATGTCACCTACCATGATTTTTACAAGTCTGATAATCTGTACCACCATCCTGGACCATGAGCCTCCACTATCAGAGAGTTTTGCCTTAACCTTACTGCATAACAGGCAGGATGGAGGTCAGTTAAAAAAATACTGACAATAACTATACAGACTTTTGGCCGGCTTTTACGGTATCTACGTCAAGAGGAAGCATGGTAAAAATATTCTACCGTCACTAAACGGCTTATCTGTGTGGAGAGTACACTATTACAAACGAACCCCCCCTCTCTCTCTCTCTCTCTCTATCTCTCTTACATATAGAACACAAAACAAATTATAGCATATTTTTAAGAAGAATAGTAACAGAACTGCACTTACCAACTAGCTGGTTTATTGGTAATATCGTTTTCTGAAAGAAATGAGATTTCATTTAAGTAAAATAAATCTTCACGATTTAAAAACATTGACACCAATAATTACTAACACTAAATTGGTGGTAGGTATATCATTTGTGTCACTTTATTTCGTGAAGGAAAAATCATCAAGTAGCTTCTCTTTCCCAGGGTATGGCGAGAGGCTGCGGGGTAAGCGTAATGAGGCAGGAGAAGGAACGGGGGGTTTTTAGTCAGTAAGAGTCTGACACTCTCTCTCGCCTTACCCTGGGCGGGAGAAGTCATTGGACGATTTTCCCTTGACAAAAAAAAAAGGGTACGGCGAGAGGGAGTGTCAGATTCTTATTGCTCCAGATGAGGCCGTGGTAGCTTACTATGAAACTTCAGCTTCTTATTTACTTCTTTGAGTTCTCATCTCGTTACATCGACTAACTTCTCGCTTCTCGCCCAGTGTATGACGAGAGAGAGCGTCTGACTCTAACTGACTAAAAACCCCTCCGTTCTTTCTCCTGCTCCAAGACGAGTCCGCAGTACCTTGTTATCGTATCTCGTCTAGTGAGTTCAAATGGTAATCCCAAAACTAACAAAATATACATACTGCTGACATATTTTTAATCGACAAATAAAAAGTGGGTTGTTTTAACATTGATCTGTGCGTCTGTATTCGGCGCTACAGTTGCAGAATACATAACCCCACCCAGTTCAGTGCATTGCAGTTTTTTTTTACCAGAAAGCGTGTTTAGAACCACTTGGTAGGTAATACAAAATAGGAAGTTAATTTTTACAATAAATATAAATGGAAAATACCTGCACTAACAGCACACAACCACACGTAAAAAATGGTCACTATGGCGATAAACGAGACCATTTTCATTAGCCTTGTTATAAGAAAAAAATATGGTATTTTTACATGTATGATTTATTCAAAACATAACTTCTCTGGACATGTTTACTCAATATTTCATACTAGAATTTTATATCGGCTATATAAATTTTGTATTAAAATAAAAGTAGGTACTAACTCAATTAAAGTCGAAGTTTGAGGTTTCAGTATTTTGTTTTGAAAAATGTTTAGGTAGTTTTGAAATACAGATAAGCAAATTATATCCGTATTGTATTTTGGACACTAGGTAAATGAAAGAATGATATATTATTATATAAAAGAATTAGCAGACCCAGCCACGCGTTGCTGTGGCTAAGGTAAATAATATTGTGACTATAAATTGAGATGTAAGCTATCCTATCTTTCAAGTTGGATGAAAATGCACACGGAATGCCAATCAAAATTAAAATCGGTTTAATAGTTTAGGAGTCCATCGCTTACAAACACTTTTTATATAGGTATAAAGAAGATATATTAATATACTTTGTACTTAAATTTTTGAGGTGCCAAATCTCCAAATCTTTTTCCGCCATAGGTGGGATACTCAAAAACCATCCCTTACTTCTCCTGCTCCAGGTTGGAGCTGCAGTACATGTTGCGCTTTCATCTACAACCCCGGATAACCCGTAACCGAAAAACTAGTAGACAGTATTATTTTGTCTCAACAAACAACCTAGCTGTCTGATGTTTTAAAAAACCGGCACTGTCGTCCATATTGATACATCTACCAGACATCCATAACATCGGACGAGTTAGCCGTGCGTTACCCGTCATTTTGGGATATTATCATGTGGCATTAGGTAATTTGAGATTTGGGGATAGCTTCCACCTACAGACACAAGTGTTTTACGCCGGTTTTCTATGAGGCTATGGTATTACTCCGGTCGAGCCGGCCCATTCGTGCGGAAGCATGGCTCTTGATTCCAGTTTTTTACTTTACTCAGTCGTTAATTTAACAACAAGAAAAACGATAACAACTTTACAATTTTACCTATAAATCAATACTGCAACGATATTTACTTTACAAAAATATTAAACATGAGATATTTTTTTCCAAATTATTTGCTACACTATATGTGGCTTTAAATCGCGACCAGAAGCACATTAAAATTTTCACGATCCCTCTCAAAGTGTGGTTTTACTGTTTCTGGTTACTGCAAAGGTCTAACAGCGATTTGGTCCAAGTACGGCACTATCGCCATTAACTACATCGGCGACATCTACCGGAAATATTTATAAATCAAACTACACTTGTACCAGTACGAAATTTTAGTTCTTTATTGTAAGTTACCTAATAGTATAATTAAGGATGCGATTATAATATGTAAATTGCAATACCCATAAAATTCCAAGTTATTTCTAAAATAGTCTAAAGAATTTAGTAGTACTAAATGAACAGGCTACTGTATCTGGATTTAATTTACGTATATGGAGCTATACTTTTCTAATGAATGCTCTAAACGTAAGCCACGAAAGAAAGGACTATGTTTAACAGATACACTTGTTCTGCTGTGACTTTTTGTTGAGGGGAGAAAATCATCAAATGACTTCTCTCGTTTCCCAAGGTAAGGAAAGGAAAGAGTGTCAGTTTCTTCTTACTGACTAAAAACCACCCGTTCCCCCCGTCAAGGCCGCACATTATATTGTCCTTGACTCTCTACCCCGACTGGTTCTGGTGTGGCTGCCATAAAGATAATGTATCAGGAAATTTTCCCCTAAAAACCAAGACCAGCAAATAGTAATCGTTAAATTTTGTCTAAGTAATTTCTTCTTTTTGCTCATTGTGTAGTTAACGCCAATTCTCATCATTTACGCCACATTATAAAATGTCGTAAACGCGCCTTAAGATTTACACCTACACAAAAAAACTGTTAGCGGTACCGGTTCAATCTTCATCCGGCGCCGTCCGGTGCCGTAAACCGAACGAGTGACCTTAAACGGTTGCTGGGGGATTGTTGAAACACCCTGTTAATGGTCTAACATTGGGCTTTAAAAATAAAATCCATGTTAAGTGCACATGCTATTCATTCATACATACTCATAAGTGTATTCTTTTTGTATTCAGTTATAACTTAAAATATATTAAATATAGCGAAGATCAAGAAAATAGTGTGAGTGGACTGTTTGATTATCTTTTGCCGGATAGAGTGCAGCCGGGGTTGCGGGGTAAGCGCAATGAGGCACCGCGACCTCGGCCCAGAGCAGGAGAAGGAACAGGGGGGTTTTTAGTCAGTAAGAGTCTGACACTCCCTCCCGTCCGGCCCTGGGCGCGAGAAGTCATTTGATGATTTTCCCCTCACAAAAAAAAAACGGATAGAGTGGCATACAAGCGCATGGATCTCCTAATGGACAGTTGATCCTCACACTTCTTAATCTTATCTCGTTGACCAGAACCAACTTCGCTCCATTTTACATGGTCCTTCTTAACACCAGAACACCCAATAAAAAACATCGCAAAAATACTTCAACAATTTACTAAAACGCTGTAAAGTAATACAACATAAAACATTTTGTTTGTAGTTAATTTAAATCGAAACTAAAAAGCAAGAATGTAAGGGCACGCGCCGAAACAATAGTGACAAACAACATTGTATATTTTATGTCGAGATTTACAAGGTGCTAAACCCTACAAACTGGACACAGGCACGGAACACAAGCACACGCGCTCATTGTAAAAAATAACACTGATTCAAAACGTTATAAAAGTTTTCTAACAATTGCCAGTCACGTAGAGAGTCCGCAGATTATTAAAACATAATCATACTCCTTTCATACCATGTGTAGAAAATTTCTGGATGCGTTCCCTGACCCCATTCATCTAAATGGGTGGTTCCTTATAGTCTATGAAGTACCTATGCAGACCATTAACACCAAATTTAGTCGACAATAAAACAAACCGTTAAATCCAACAATCTCCTACAAAGGGTCACATTCGCATAAAGAACGCACAACTAGAACAAAACAGATTATTAAAATACTTATTACAATAAAAGTGCAACAAACAACGGCCCTTCCCTCAAATATATTATACAATTAAGTCTTAAACTCGTTTCCTTGCGGCCGACTGAGTTTAATTTATTTTTCCCTTTATTTCACGACGAGAAATTTATTTTCATAACTGATAATAAATGTCAAGTCATTGTAGTAATAAACTGAGTGAGGGCTTGTTCACCCTTCCCGAGCGGTGGCGTACACTCGTGGTGACACTAGCGACACCCCACGACTATTTTTTGAATTAATGCGTGAATTACACTTTAACATTAACATTATATGTAAATGTTTTAACGTTTTAACTATTTCATATTCATTTCTCTGCTACATAGCTTTTCTATCTCGGATAGTTTTTAATAGCTTACCGTAGAACATTATAAATTCCTATAAGGTTGTGCACACTAGTTACCTAATCGTTCACGGCACTTCAATACCTTTTGCTCGTGAATCCAGTTTTCATCTCACCGCTCTTGGCGCGTAGCGGTGAACTTGCCAATATCAATTAATTCCAACGCTGAACAAGTAAACAAAATTTAAATAAAACAAAAAGTGTTGTTCAATGAAGTGGTGGGAATGCTTCGGGGCGGGTTTTTATAGTGGCTGACGGCGATCCAATCTACTAATACGATGGAATGGATCTAAATCTCGGGAGGACGGCCATGTCCTTCCACTTGAAGTGAACTCCTCAAATGAAATGGCTATTGCAAACTCGATACATAACTAGTGCTGGGCCGTGGGACTGTTGCAAGCCTGAATTATTGTAATTGAAGCTGGTTTTCGTCACAAGTGTACTGTCCTATAAAGTACCTTTAAAGGATTGAATGTAGGTCGCCTGGTACAACGAAGTCCCTAACGCCCCATGTAATCACTAGATGAGCCCAGGACCGGGCAATAGAAGTTCTTGTAAAATTCACACAGATACCTCTTGTAATCTTTGAATAAGATTTAGTAATATTGAAGAGATTTTTTTATACCAAACTATATGGGGCTTATGACATTTGTCGTATTTTGATACTTACACATTTTGTAATTTGTCTGAGTAAACATTGCAATACTGGATTTGAATTTGAATTAAAATGAAGAAAAAAAAGTATTATCTAAATTAAATAAAATGAACGCACCCAGTACAAGTTCATTATTTAAATTCAACGGTCAATTCACAGAGTCGGAACATTCGAGATCCGAAACAATCTTTTTGCCGTCAATTACATTAGAAATCTTACTCCGTCGGGTTTGTATTTACATATGAAGGTGTATGTATGTACTGCGGGTGCACTCCCGTTGATTGCGGGTCAAATACTGATCATCCCTATTCGAAACAAGCGTATGCAAGGCGCCCGGCGCCATCTTTGAGTTTGAAGAAAATACGTTAGGTTCAAACATGACAGCTTTGCAAAATATAAAAATGACACGTGTTATGGATTGTAGACCAGACTGTTTAGTTTTTGTACCTTTAGATTTGATGTGTTTTTGATAGGTATATTAAGAATAACATACCTATGCGTACATTTTACATGAGCATTTTTTCGTTTTCGCTCGAACTTTCCCAAATACTTCATTTTGAACAATTCCTAACTCGTTTTCATGAGAAAATCTTGTACAATTTCACATAAAAAGCATTTTAACTCTCCATACCTATTTTGTTAAACAATGGGTTAAGTTGTTTCTAAACCTGTACTGTAAGCTAATGTAAACTTGAAAAACCAACTTGCAGGAGGATTACCGTACCAAAGTATTCCCCGTATGCAAAATGCCGTATTATTAGAACAGCATGGCAACAACATTTGTATTTGTATACCTACTCAGATAGAACATTAGGTAAAGTTTTGCCGTCGCCTGAAGGCATAGTATAATACATGTAGGCAGCTTAGGTAAGTAAACGAATACTAATATTGTTTTATTATAATCGATGTTTGTGATTTCGTGCGCACATAATGTCGGTTACTCAGCCAGCATCCGAGTCGAGAAACTGTGTCTATAGCACAGAACTGAACAATATCCGGAACTGTATCGTTTGCAACCCTGTACTCATAGCCCAGGATAGTCATAAACGGCCCAACTTCTTACAGACTTACACTATAACTTTAGCAAGGGATTACCACCAGTAATACACACCCCACAAGGTGGAAACTTCCAACGCAACACCCGAGCACTTAGTACATTATAATGTTCCATTAAAATAATAGCCATGTCAAAAGCACTGCTCGACTGACGCGAATACTTTCCGACTGCTTGGCTTTATTTTATTGCGCATGTTTTAATATTAATTGTAAGTTTTCTGGCTCGATGAGCGGACGACGACTTAATGCAAATGTATACGCTTGTCAAAACGTTTAAGGCGAATAGTGAAATTCATGGCAGTTTATTTGCGCGCACAATTTCATTCTCGTTATAAATAAAAGGGAGTCCATATAAAGTAGATTGTTGTACCTCAACTTGAACGTGTACTTCAGGAGTTTTGCGTAGACAATGGCGGGAAGTTTTTAAAGGGAAAATTATGACAAAAGCTGGATTTATAAAGGCTGGGGAGTTGAGGGTGGCGGGGAGGCTGCTGTGGCCATGGTTCACGTGTCCTGGTCACGTGGCCCGCTTCCACACCCAGCATGCATCTGCCTCCACGTAACGTAAGCCTACTTTACGACTAATCAGTTTCTTTGATTTCAATTCAGTAAATTTTTGTTAACTTGTATACTAAACGCAATCTTCAGTAAATAATGTAATGTAAGCCTGTGTAGAATGTGGTGAGTATTTATTCCAGTACCTACCCACATATTTATAGCAATAAGAAAATGTACCGAGTGTTTTTTTTCTTTACTTACTTACATAGAAAAAAATATAAGTCACGTATTTATAAACATTTTTCTAGCATTAGGTATCTATTTTAACACATTTTCTCGTTAATATTAGTTCCATAGTCAGTCATCGAATAAACAATCTTAGATTAAAATCATGAAACAAAAATAACGGGCAGTGATGGGTACGGGCGACGCGACGGGCCGTATCCCGTTGAAATAGATAAAGCTCAGAGATAGGCCGTCAACGTCGCCAGTTGTCACAAATGTGTGACAGCTCGTTAGAGACGGACACGCCCAGAGCTGGGAATATCAGCATATGCTCCACAATGACGCTCCGAATGGACAGACTGACAATTTACTCGTTGTTTAGATATTAAACCTTTTATTCTGTGATGGTAATCTTAATACATTATTGTAATATAATTATGTTCATACGGTATTTGACACGCATGAAAGGAGATTAACAGCGTCATGGCTAAGATACCTCCTTCATCCGCATTTTTCTTACTGAGTAGGTACCTACCTCTTCTTACACGGACAGGTTTTGTGCATTATTTCCAAGCTTGATTGAGGTGGATAAGCGATTTCACAATCACTTATTAATTAGGAATTATAAGTCTAGGATGACGATAGTTTCCTTAACCGTTTGAAAATTATGTGTCTTAATTATCTTCGTAAGTAAAGGTAGATAAGTAAAAAGTAACTTGTAAAAAGTCACATTGGTATTTGTCAAGTTTCAACCCTCATGCTTGGGAAACGGGGGCTTCACCTCCGGGGATTATTTAATGAATTGCTTTAATCTATATTTCAAGAATCTTTTCATCTAGAATCTAGACGAGAGTAATCTCGATCGATATTGTCGATTTATACCTAAGTTATTAATCTCCAGTGCAGGTAATGGTGTAGTAAAAAGAAAATGCTATTGTCACCACGCATTCTAATCGTTCATATTCGAGATGACTACACAATTTACCTTTAACTTTAAGTGTGGGAGAGCCATGCTTCGGCACGAATGGATCGGCTCGACCGGAGTGATACCACGGCCTCACAGTTAACCGGCGTGAAACAACCACAGCGTTGTGTTTCGCCGTGTGAGTGAGGTTACCGGAGGCAAAATCCTTCCCCACCCCCAGTCCCTCCTCAATCCCTAATCCCTAAAAGGTCGGCAACGCACTCGTAACTCCTCCGTTGCGGGCGGCGCTGATTACTTACCATCAGGTAATCCGTCTGCTCGTTTGCCGATCTATTACATAAAAAAAAAAACAATTGGACTGGATTTTGATTATACATTTTATTTAGACCAGACATCTGCCAATGCTTTGGCGCTCTTTGATAAACCCTTAAACCATCTGTCAAACTTGATTAATAATGTTCCTACCAACCCTCTCATGTAGAGAACGTACGGGATACGTATAAATATCTATATTCTTAACCAACTAGACAAATAAGTTATCAGGTAATGAAAACAAAACTTATCTAATTTAGAGCTACTTATTTTCAAATTGAACATATTATTAGGTAGGTAGCTTCATTGTGATGGACGATGATAAAATAAGTGGTACGTTATTATAGAAATGAACCTACCTAAGCAACTTTAACTATTGAAATTTGTAAAAATTGCTCTTTCCCACGAGAAAATAAAACAAACTTTCTTCAACTGTTCCGTACCGATTATTAAACAAATGGGTCAGTATTGCCATCTAGTGACAGTAAACGAACTACCTCACGTTTCTTCTCACTACTAGATGGCATGATTAAATTGTTGTTTCTACTCACCGCTAGATGTCAGGATTATTCGGTATGTCATTATGTCAATAGATGGCAGTGTAAAAAATTGTAATACCAAAAATATTCAATAGATGTCTCTGTTGTCTAAAAGTACAGTTATAATTTTGGTGGAAAGATGACGTTAGTTATTATTAAGTAAACATAATAAAATCAAATAAGAGATGACGCTACCCGAGCATCCATAATTTGTAAAATATTAGAAGAAAGTAAAATTTATCACTTCAATAGTATTGAAATAAAAAATATATTGATTTTGTTCTTTATCGTGTTTTATCCGCTTTTAGTTTATTTTAAATAAAATATTGTTTTACCACTGGTAAGATTCGGTAAATTAATTTTATTTTCTGGCAAGTATCAGTCTCCGGGACTCGGGATGGGTCAAGTTTGGGAATCGTGCTGTTGAGTTGACTGGACTGTGGATTGGTGTGTGACTGTCGTTTTATGTAGTGTTTTGTTTATGAATTAAAATATTGTTTATTTTATTTTTTTGGCGTTGAAACAAACGAAGTACAAGGTAAGCTACTTTGAATATCATTTTCTAAGTTATTAAGATTCCTAAATCTACAGGTTTTAGTCATAAGAAAGTCCTGAACTTCGACAAGGGATATCGTAATGTTTGAGAGTAAATTTCTCATGATGGAGGCCTTAAATACTGTGTTAAATATATGATGAAGTCTTTCTTTGATTTCCGATTTGCATAAACATGACTCGTGCGGCATATTCTCGCAATTATATGAATAAAAACATTTTCTTAGTGGCGGGGTCACTTCAAATCAATGCTCCAGTGTCGTAGGCGAGTTGTTATTGAGAAAGGGCCCGGTGTAGTTCTCGTGACAAGAACACAAGTATTTACAGTTAAGTAAACTTATCTATAACCTGTCTTGTAACTTCGTGCCTGCCTCCTTCACCTACACGCTGCCCCAAATATCAAGTAAATAAGAAAGTAACACCTTTTTTTTTAATTTAAAGTAAATTGACAAAGGAATATAACATCTGATTGACTTCTACAAGTTTTGTTACCTAAAACCTACTTAGATGATGTAGTCACCTGACATTATTATTCTTTATTTGTTAATAGTTTTATTATTATAAGCTGCTGTTATTTCTCACAAAATTCTGAGACATCTAACAGTTGTCAGAAATCTAATTCACTTTCATATTTCTTTATATTCCATATCTTATCATACAATCTGTTTTGTGCTATCATTTTATATACAAACAATTTGCTAAAGAAACTGATAGAGTGACCACTTGCCTGTATGCAGAACTTAAAATTGTATTGGTTTAAACCACAATTATATATATATACTTACTATGTTTATCATCATTATCTTCTCTGTGTGAGAAGAGGCCTTTGCTCAGCATGAGGCACTTCATGATGACTATGTTTATGCGTATTAATTTACACACTTTTTATTTTAAATAAAACTCATAACTCACAACAATATTATTACTCATATTATTGTATACATATTTTCCATGGCAATCAAGTCTAAGCAGTGGCTTAAGTTAAAAAATATCTATACAAGCATAAGATAGGTAATAGTCTTTCATAGCTACCTTCTATATTTTATAGTAAGTGTAAGGAAAACGATGAATGAACCTGCAATTAAAAGTTGTTAAAAACTTAATTAATTGGTCTCACCTACCTACTTCCTTATTTTAATTAATTAATAATAATATAACAAGGACACAGTATGTAATACAATTGTTAGGTATGTGATAAAAGATTTCCTTTATAAGTTGTTATTTTTCATTACTTGAAAAGTTACTGCATCTGTTTTTTTTATATTTATTATGTACTCGAGCATTTTTCTATCTGTTGCTCCTATTGATTAGAGTGTAATGTTTTATAGCCCAAAGCTTTCCTTAACAACTGGACTATCCAACACGAAAAACATTGTTCAATTCCAACAGCTCCGTAAAATAAGTTCATTCAAATAAATTACCAGTTTATGTTAGACTAAACATTTTCTATGTTGACCACTATTCACAGCCCATGCTAAACACGGCTAGACTATGTGATTTAGGCTGCACATTTTATTTAAATGTTGTCGCACACTTGTTTACATCACCCCCAGACTCGGAACAACAATTTGTAGATCACACAAAGATTTGTACTGTGCAGTATACTCTTAACATTAATTTATAGGAGAGCCCAAAATCTGTAATAGCCATTATTTCTTATGAAAATAACAGCAGATTAATTGTTTAAGCTTTAAATATCATACATTTTATTTTTATTTTGTCTTAATAAAGCAAATTCTTTTTTAGCAAGCATAGTTTAATATACGACGGCGAGGTTATTACTGTCATTAAAAAAAGATAGGATAAGATATAAACTTATTCATCCAGTTGGTTCATTTAAATTAAGAAAGTACAAGTCAAAAAGTTGTCTACTGCCAGTGTAGCATACTTAATTTTCTGTTCTGTGGTAGCATAATTATTATTTCAGACATGTTTTCTCAATGTCACTGCCACTATGCACTGCAAAAATTTAAATATAGGACATGATTTGTGTGATTAAATTTGTAGCGTACCTAGGTACTCATACTTATATTATAAAGAGGTAAAATTTGTAAGTTTGTATGTAGGGGGTAATCGTTGAAACCGCTGGTTGGATTGCCAAAATTCTTTTACTGATGATAGCTACTATGTTCCTGAGTGCTATAGGCTATAAAACATCACGCTACATCAGAAACCGCGCGAGAGTAGCTAGTGAGTTATAAAAGAGGTGGATTGTGAATGACCTTTTTGTTGTATTTAGTATAATTAGTATTTAGTCTTACAAAATAATATGAAGTTCACTTAACAAATAGATAAGAAATAACATAATAATATTGATCAAAACATATACATACAGTTACTGAAACCCTACACATTGAAACCAAATCACATTAAAATGACAGACATAATATCACATAATTCCTTTCCTTGTCGTATTTGTTGTTTTGTAAGCAGTAGACTATAAAAATACACATGGTGCAACTAATAGACCACATTAATAACTTTTTTATTGTTACAGTACTCATGATAAATTGTAAATTAATACTTAATAAAATATTTTACGACTAGATATCACATGTGGTGTGAACATGCATTCAATTACGCATAAGTTTGAAAATGATCATAGTTAAGTATTTAAAAAAAAAAACATTTTTTATACCTCCAAATTCTAAATTAGACTGATAACTGTGCTTCTTATTTTATTTTTTAAGACTAAACAGCAGTATTTAATTTTAAACTTTCGGGTTTTATATTTTATTTGCAACATATAATTACGCGGGTATTAACGCGGAAAATAATTATTTAAATACCTTGGTAGGCTTGACGTTTCGACATTGTTGCACAGGTCGTGGTCGCAAAGAGACTGAAGATGTGATGTCACAGCTCCCTGCATTCGGGGGATAAATTTTCATCTTCCCCCTTATTTTCTCTTTTTACCCTATTAGGCCGTCTACTCACAACGCTGACCGCATCTACATACATATGTGTTAACCGACTTTGAAGGAAAGCGAGATTGTGTTTGGGGAACCACTGGGTTCAAAGTGAAAATTTAAAGCCGTCCTCCCGATTTAAATGATTTGGCCATTTCTTTATTTCAACCGCTTCACGCACAAGTCTTGCATGGTAGTGGCGATCAGTGGAGAGAATTTGCGGTCGGTGGAATTCCATCCAGTGATTAGAACCAGCCTGTAGCAGATGTTCTGCTATCGCTGATTTGTTGCTCTGTCGGTTCTTGACTGCGTCGATATGTTCTTTGAGCCTCTCAGCAATGGTCCGCTTCGTTTGTATGTACGAACTACCGCAGCTGCAGTTGATCTTATAAACACCTGGGCTTTTTAGCGGCAGTACATCCTTCGCCGAGCCTACTTTATGATGAACTTTGGCCTCAGGTATGTAGACAGTCAAGATCGAAAATTTTCTTGATATACGGCATGAAGGCAGGTTGTCTGCTACGTTTGGATGTCTGGCCCTCTTAAGAAGTCGCAATAGTCGCCCATCTCCTATGCTATATCCGTTCTTTTTAAGTACTTCCTAAATATGGTCTAGCTCTTGCCCCAAATGTTCAGGGTCACAGAGGTCATATATGCTCTGTTCTTTAGTCATGTCATTTGATTGATTGGGCCTGGAATAGGAGAAGGAACGGGTGTTTCAGTTCTCTGACACTCCCTCCTCTTCACTCCTCCTCTCGCCTCACCCTGGGCGAGAGAAGACATTTGATGATTGTCTGCCCTCAAAAAAAGCTATCTCTGTGTTTCAATCTAACAAATTAATTGTGTAATTCGTAATTCTATATGCCTTGAAGGTCCTCAACTATTTATCATAACAAAGCGAACTGCAATACCGCTACCAAATGCGTCACTAAACATACGTAGGTACTTAAATAAACTATGCATTATTTCAAGGAACATAAGTTTGACATTACTTCACCAAATACTCGTACATTATTTCGTGTATGCAGCACATAAAAGTGAATGAGCAAAACACTATAACTTCGTCACAACCCTATCCTGCGGTCGTTGACCTCACCTGAAATATCTGAATACATATTGCGCGCCATGTGTTGTTTAAATGTCAGTGCTCGGAAATAGGTCGCATGCATAAAAATATTCTAGTTACCTACAAACACTGCAAATAGGAACTGAATATGAAAAAGAAGGCAATTTTTCATAGTAGTCGTAACATGTTTGAAAACTGTGTTACACTAAGAGCTGATTTTTCAATAGTCAGATAAATGTTATCCGAGAAATAAAATTGTTGCTGTCACTGTCTTATACAAACATTCTGACGCGACAGCATCATAATTATTCCTTACAATAAAACTTTCATCGAACCACTGAAAAATCAGCCCTAAGAAGATTTGTTAGAAATTGAACATGAGTCGTACATTTTATTACAATATGGCGGCGGATAGAAAATAAAAGTGAATTATAAAGGTTTCAAATTGATTTCTTGATTTGTATTTGTATCGTATGATAAAACTTTCGGGGTGATATTCAAATTTCAAATGTTCCCACGAAGTAAAATCAGGGCAGGACAGCTGCTAAAACAATGAGATTTATATTTCTTTGACACTTGGCAAACGTGGACAGTCCTATACAAACATAATCCTTGTTTTTCTTAGAAACGACACCGTTTCATTCTTGGAACCATTTACCTATTTTGATTCAAATAGAAATTGCATCGATACCTAGAATTTCTTCACTCTTTCGTGGATAATTCCTGTTATTTATAAGTTAATTCATTATAGATATTCATTACACTTAATTGTTTGAAATCTATCGCTTTCAATCATGATAGGTAATTGAAGTCATATTCTTTTTAAATGCCATGTAAAATGTTATAAAATTCGTATCTTTATAATATTTTCTTGGCACTCAACCCTATTAGCGGTAAATGATGCAAAACGATCGTGACTGACAAATATAAAACCTGAATTTTATTGCGATAGATGGATATGTAAGGCCTGGTAAAAAATATTTCAACTGACAAGTTACTATTTGTCAGGGAAAGTTAAGTTAGAGGCAAGTATAGCGAAGTTGATAACTTCAAAGTAATTATTGGATTTCCAAGAAACTGACAGGGATGAACTAGGCTTCACGAGGTTCCCCAAAGGGCTTTAGTCGAAAGCAGACGATTTTTGATTATTTAATAGAAGTAGCAGAGAAAGTAATAATATTAAGTTGCTACTAACATTATATGCCTCAATGTTGACATTTATAGTGGCTGTCGTTTCTCGGAATTTTAATCAAACAAAACAAAATGAACGCACCTTGTCACCAGTCACTCAAGCCACGTCGTTTTATTACAAAAAAAAAACGTGACATTTACTTAGCAATTCACACAAGATAGTGTATTGTTTTTATGCGAATATATCGACATTAGGTCATAGGTCAATCGATTATAATGACTGTCTTTTTAATATTTTAAGTGTGGGAGAGTCATGCTCCGGCACGAATGGGTCGGGTCGACCGCAGTGATATCACGGCCTCAAAGAAAACCGTCGTGAAACAACCACAGCGTTCTGTTTCGCCGTGTGAGTGAGGTTACCGGAGGCCCAATCTTTCCTTTCCCCAATCCCTAAATCTCCCAAATCCCTAATCCCCAAAAGGTCGGCAACGCTCTTGTAACTCCTCTGTTGTTGCGGGTGTCCATGGGCGGCGCTGATTGCTTACCATCAAGTAATCCGTCGGCTCGTCACGACTCGACTTATCACTTAAAAACCTCTCCTACCAGTCACGAAACAGACCCAGAAACTTCTGATTTACATTTTGCAAGTGAAATTGCAATGTTATTTTTGTATTTGAAATATACGTGATGCTTGAAATTAATGGTTTATTTTCCTCAATATCTGAGTAGAACCATCATCATAG